TGCTTAAAACTATGTGTGTTGGGGGATTTATTGGTGAAAGAGAATGGCTGAAAGAAAAAAGTGGGAGGAGAGTTGATGCAGACTCCAATCTATCTTGCATATTTTGACAACACTATTTCATTTTCCTCATGCCTTTCCTCCGAGGCTCTCAAGACAAGAGTAGTTATTTTCTCCTTTGCTCACTCTTTATCTTATTGATTTATAATTTAGATTTATAAATCACTGAGTACTCAGGGCTCTGAGCGATAAACAACAACAATAAATATTAAAACCATTCCAATAATTTAAATCAACTAATTAAAAACAATTCACAGATGGCGTTGATACATCCAGTTCCAGACTATGTCTCAGCCTCATAGGCGAGATAGGGTGGGAACATAGTTGAAAAGGGGAGCAGAGGAGAAAGATGGCACCCATTGCTGTCCTCAGCCAAAGGCCTGGCAGAACTTCTCTGCCCTGTAAGCCCTGCGGAACTGCATCAGGCCCCACAGAGCTCAGGTGTTATTTGGCAGAGAGTTCCACCAGGTGGGAGCCAGGGCCAAAAAAGCCCTGGCTGAGGACAGCTGGATGTCTTTTGGGCCAGGGATCACCAATAAGTTATTCTCAGCAGAGCGTAATGCTCCTTGGGGGATGTACTGGAGGAGGCAGTCCGAAAGGTATCTTGGTCCCAGACCACTCAAAGCCTTAAAGGTCAGTACCAAAACCTTGAACCTGGCCCAGTACTCCACTGGAAGCCAATGCAGCTGATACAGCACAGGTTGAATGTGTGCTGTCCGGGATGTTCCTGTCAGGACTCGCACTGCTGCATTCTGGATTGGCTGGAGTTTCCGGATCAGTCTCAAGGGCAGGCCAGCGTAAAGCAAGTTACAGTAATCCAATCTGGAGGTGACCGTTGCGTGGAGTACTGTGGCTAGGTCAGGGCAAGACAGGAAAGGGGCCAGCTGCTGCACTTGGTGCAGATGGAAAAATACCAGCTTGGCAATGTTCACGATCTGGGCCTCCATAGATAAGGAGGTATCCAAGACCACGGCCAAACTCCTGATGGTTTGTGCCAATATCAACGGCACACCGTCAAGGGTGGGAAGTTGGCACCCCAGCCCTTACTCCCCGCCACAGAACCTCCATCTTAGATGGATTCAGTCTCAGTCTTCAACTATCCCACTACGGCCTCTAGACCCCTGAGCATAAATTGACTGGTATCTGGGCGGCCACCCATTAACAGATATAGATTAGGGTTAGGCCAAATATTCATTTTGTAATATTAGACATGTAATCTGAAATTAAATTTTAAAATGCTCACTTGCCAGGATTGTACACAGAGCTGACTGTAATCTGTATCTTTATAACTTTTCTGGCAGGTATCGTCAGATATTGGAAAAAGCAATTCAGCTGTCAGGAGCTGAACAGCTGGAAGCATTGAAAGCTTTTGTAGAAGCAAGTGAGTATACGCCTTTAGCAGTCAGGGATTACTGAATGATGGCTTTGTAAGTGTTGGATTGCAGCAAGGAAGAATATATGAATGGTCTTGCAGCCATTGTACATTGAAACTCCTGTGTTTTTCATGCATAAGTAGATGTCAGCATGATTGGGCATTTGTAGAAAATACTTTGAGGCTGCAATCTTAATTTTGTATTTGGAGATAAATTCTTTCAAATTCAATGGGATTTATTTTTAAACAAGTGTTGCTAGGGTTGGTCTTGAAGAGGTTAATAACCCTGTTGATGTACAGCCTTAGCTAGGGTTGCCAGGTCCCTCCTTACTACTGGCAGTGGGCGGGTGGCAGGGTTGCCAGTTCCAGGTTGGGAAATTCCTGGAGATTTGGGGGTGGAGCCTGGAGAGACGGGGACCTTGGGGTTCAGTGCTATAGAGACCACTCTCCAAAGCATCCATTTTCTCCAGGGGAACTGATCTATGTAGTCAGAAGATGAGCTGTAATTCCAGGAGATCCCCAGGCCCCTCCTGGAGCCTGGCATCCCTGCAGTGTTAGAACTGTACATGTTGAAAGTCAAATGAAAGAGTAATAATGTTAGTAGTTGGCAAGAAAAATATGTCTGCTTGGCTGCCTAATGAAAATACATCTATAATGAAGTAAGAACATAAGAGATGCCAATGTTGGATCAGGCCAAAGGCCCATCCAGTCCAACACTCTGTATCACACAGTGGCCAAAAATACCAGGTGCCCTCAGGAGGTCCAGCAGTGCGGCCAGGACACCAGAAGCCCTCCCACTGTTGACCTCCCCCCCCCCCCAAGCACCAAGAAGACAGGGCATCACTTTCCCCAGAGTCCCTATCTATACCTTGTGGCTAATAGCCACTGATGGACCTCTGCTCCATATGCTTATCTAATTCCCTTTTGAAGCCGTCCATGCTTGTAGCCGCCACCACTTCCTGTGGCAGTGAATTCCGAGTGTTAATCACTCTTTGGGTGAAGAAGTAGGTCTCATTTATTTATGTCCTGGTAAATATTGTGGCCCACTCCTAAAACAGTAGCAAGAACCACACTGCAAGCCTTAGGATGAGTTGCAGCCATGTGATAAGTGAACTGAACTCATTTCACTGAGGTGGTGCATTCAGATGTCATGGTGAATTGGAGGTAGTAAGAGTGAGGGGCCTACAGCTGAGGACAGCAACGGCCTCCATCTTGCCTGGCACTCCCCTTGCTCTCCCCCCCCACACACGTGGGGGTAGGGACATAATTCTGGTTTATTAAGCGTCATCTAAAATAGTTTTGTGTTGCCGTTATTTTTATTGTTTTAATTAATTTAACTTAATTCGTTAATATGTTACTGAAATTGTTCACCGCCCTGAGCCCGCTATGCAGGGGAGGACGATCCATAAGCCAAATTTATAAATAAATAAGTGTAACAAATTTTGTACGTGCCTGAACAGAGTTTGGTATTTGCTGCTTGTTTGTTTATTTACTTAATTCATGCCCCATATTTCTTCCCAATGGGGACCCACAGTGGCTGACATTGTTATCCTGTTCTCTGCTTTATCCTCACAGCAACCCTGCGTGGTAAGTTAGGCTGACGGTGTGACTGTCCCAAGGTTCCTCAGCAAGCTTCCATGGCAAGAGTGGAGATTTGAATCCGGGTCTCTCAGATCCCAGTCTGACATTCTAATCACAACACCATACTGGTGACGTTGAATGCAGCCTTGGTTGCTATCTGATGAAATGCAAGGACAGTAGTATTGCATCCAAACACATTTTTTAGCTGGTGCAGTGATCTGAAGGTTTGGTGGAAACCAGAGGGTTTCATCCTTGATTGGCCTTAACGATAGCAATTGTTAATGGCTGGATTCTGGTTAAAGCGGCAGCCTTAATGTAAATTTATGTTCTGCTCTCTGTGTTTATGTCCTTTAAACTAGTGGTGAATGAAAATGTCAGTTTAGTGATTTCGCGGCAGCTGCTGACAGACTTCTGTACTCATCTTCCAAGTCTTCCTGATAGCACAGCCAAAGAAATCTACCACTTCACCTTAGAAAAGATCCAGCCACGTGTAATTTCCTTTGAGGAACAGGTAAGAGCAGAGCAATAGGAATGTATATTGGGGGGAATGAGCCTTGACTGTTGTATTGATGGACGTAAAATTTTTAAATAAAGAATGCAGTTAACGATAACCAACATACTCATTTCACAATAAAGAAAGCAAAAAAAAACCTAGCACCAGCTGCATTTAGCAGTTAGAGCAAGCAGAGGTTTTCCAGCACTGGGTAATGGAAAGCTTGAAGTGCTTGCATTATCGTCCAATATCTAGTTTTTGTTCTCTCGCTTCTAAAGTTTTTTCAAACTCCTTGCTACTTTCATCCCACTTTTCTTATAATTTTCCTTCCTCTGTCTTCTGAAGATTTTAATTCTTTCATGAGTACATTACTGGTGGTATCTAGACTGCAAGTTGCTGAAGCAGAGGGCGGTTCTTGGTGGTGGACAGTGCCATCAAGTTGCAGCTGACTTCTGGTGACTCTGCAGGGTTTTCAGGGCAAGAAATGTTCAGAGGTGGTTTACCATTGCCTGCTTAGGAACATAAGAGAAGCCAATGTTGGATCAGGCCAACGGCCCATCCAGTCCAACACTCTGTCTCACAGTGGCCAAAAATACCAGGTGCCATCAGGAGGTCCAGCAGTGGGGCCAGGACACAAGAAGCCCTCCCACTGTTGCCCCCCCCAAGCACCAACAATACAGTGCATCACCTGCCCCAGACTGTGCAGTCATCCTATGCTTCCTTGGTGGTCTCCCATCCAAGTATCAGCCCTGTTTAGCTTCCAAGACCTGACAAGATTGGGCTCTCCTGGACTATCCAGGTCAGGGCCTTCTCCTTCTTAGGTCCCATTAAGTTAGTAAGGTTTATGGCCCAGATTCTTCCCCATAAATCTGTTCCATAGGAATAACCTGATGTAGATCAGACTCATTCCACCTTGCTTTATTTCTAACTAGCCCCGCACTCATGGCATTTCAGAATTCTACATACCTGATTGCCTTTATCCTTAAATTCCAACTGTATCTACTACACTTACCCTTTATGCACTGTTTCAGTTCTTATTGCGCCGTTCTCTGACAATCATAGCTATCAGTGTTAGAGACAGTCTTGGTTAATATTGCACTCATTACCCTTTAAGGCCAGCAGCTGCAGTCTTAGTTAATATTGCATATTCTCTCTCTGAAAACAGCGGCCATCAGTCACCAACAGTCCCATTCCCATATGTCCATTCCTAGCTCCTTAATCTTTTGAATCTTCTCTGATACAGTGGTTCAAGCTAGATGGATATCTTCACTGTGTTTGTTTCATACTAAGCCATTCCTTTCCCAGGTCGCTTCTATAAGGCAACACCTTGCATCGATTTATGAAAAAGAAGAAGACTGGAGGAATGCAGCGCAAGTGTTGGTGGGGATTCCTTTGGAAACAGGCCAGAAGTAAATACTGTCATTTGAAGAGTTGTAATTTGCTATTTTTACGTTTTTGTCTTTACATTGCATCTCCTTGGGTAGTAAAAATGCTCCATCTTGGTGCATCCTGGGCCTAGTTCCTTGGATAGATAATGGGTTGACATGTCTTGTGCTGTTCTGCTGTAATACATCCATGTGTACAGTATCCTTCTAGAGTTTTTCTTACAGTAGTTCTTGTAGCACAGCACAGCTACCCGGTAGAGGCGTCTTTAGACATTAAGGATCTTGCGTTAAATCTAGCTCTCTTCTGCCTGCTGTACAGCAGAGCAGAGGACTGTTTTCTGTCTTGTATACTTGACTCTGAAAACTGAGATTTGCCTTGTCACTCACTTCCTTTTAGCAGTAGGCTGCATTTAGTTTTAATTAAGTAACGTGTTTAATTTATGAAACTCAACTCGTTACTTGATTTAAGTTTAAATATAATTAATTAAAGTTTTAAATTGTTATTCTCTGCTTCTTTGCTAGTAGGGTCTAAAAGTTTTGTTTTGTTTTTTCTAATCACAAAATTGTTCATGGGTTTTTTAAAATTTTGGATTCTGCTTATAACCATATTTTGTCTAACAATGCAATCTTAAACAGAGTTTCACCCTTCTAAGTCCACTGAAATCAGTGGGCTTAGAATGGTGTAACTCTGCTTAGGATTGTACTGTCGGTCAGGCTCTAACATTTCAGTTGTACTGAGGTGACAGCACAGAAGCTTAGGGAAAGGAGAGAAATTATTTGACTGAAGATAAGTGAAATTTCTCCTCTTTAGAGACAATTTAGTGGCCTAAAAATTGTATTATAATACGGCTTGCTTTGACTCCATTTAAAGCTTCAGCATTTTCTTTGTATTCCTTCTTAGTGGGAAAGGAGGTATATAAATAATTTAAAACAAAGCATTCTCAGATATCAAAGGGGAAAGAATAGTTCCTGTATGGCCTCACAGAGTTTATACACAATCCCCTGTGATCTGACAAGAGAACTAGCATTCCTTTCAGTTGTATAGAAGGAAAGAGGACCATCTTACTGAGTTTCTTGTTTAACTGGACATTAGGGCTTGTAAGAAATAAGTTTAAAAGCAGTTGTTTCAACAGGCCTAAGCATGTCTTCCTTTTTGATAAACTGGAGCCATTGTATAAAATGTGCTGCACTTTAATTTTTTTGTCGATACATGGGCCGTCCTTCTCAGACACCGGCTGGTGGGAAAGAACCATTTGGGGTAAACATTAACTGCAGTTATGTTGTAAATTCACACTGGCCACTTCCTGCATAATGAAGTCTGAGTCCTGTGGCACCTTTAAGACCAACAAAATTTTCTTCAAGGTATAAGCTTTTGTGTGCAGAAATCTGTGCCCTGTGTGACCCCTTGGCCGAATTTGGAATCACACAGTCGGAGTCCAACCTGTTAGATGAATCTGTTTATTGCAATGAAAACAGGGAATACAGGGGCTGCTGAGTACCTTAGCACTTCAGCAATTCCAAGCCATATTCTGCCATAACCAGGAAGGGCAGAAGGTCTTATACCATAAATGCCATCAAATATAATTTACACATTCAAGAACCTTTAATTGGTACCAAGCAGTTAACATCATAAAAGCATCATTTGACTCTAAACCTTACTATTGGTCTCTCCTGATACTGGTCACGTATGTCAGTGATGGCATTTGTTTATCTGGTCTTCAGAACAAGGGGGAACGTTAGAGAACACTGGGACCCTCTGTCTTCACTTAGGAGAGCTAGCTGATAAGGGCTGTGATTCACATCACGTTCTTTGCATCCTTGCAACTCCTAAATAGCATTCTACCTACAGAGGCTTCTTATACAAAAAAAATGCAATTATAAAATATATTTATGTTATAAGTTTCTCTGATCAGAAGATCTTAGGTTACATACCAAGATCTGAATCTATTATGATTCAACTTTTAAAGGCACAGTGACAGCTGTCGGCATACATATATATCAAGGAGAGAGTGTCAGAAATCACATTCTTTTTCCCTTGTCCTACACAAGCACACTTCCTCAGATATCAGATAAAATTTTGTTGTTCTTAAAGGTGCCTCTGGACTCAAAACTTTGTTCTGCTGTTTTGGACCAATAGCTTCCCACCTGCATCTCACTTCTTACAAAGCTGGGGAAGTACATGACACAGTTATAATGAACTTCCCCTTCCTCCCCTGCCCCATTCAAGGCAATACAACGTAGACTATAAACTGGAAACCTATCTGAAAATTGCCCGGCTGTATCTGGAGGACGACGATCCCGTTCAGGCCGAGGCGTACATCAACAGGGCATCCCTCCTACAGAACGAATCAACCAATGAGCAGCTACAGATCCACTACAAGGTGACATTGTTTATATTAGTTTTTGCTGTGTGGAAAGAGGAGTTAATAACAGCATTGATATGGCTTCCGGGTGACGAGGTTATTAACGACTACCTGTCTCATTGGCCGTCACAGCAACCTGGTGAATTAGAAAATATATTATCTCTTTATTAGGTACAAAGTCTGAGTAGCAAAATGTTCCAAATCCATGCAGTGCATCCAACCTAGCTAGGATTAAAAGGCATATCTTCCATCTGAAAATCCAACAGACTGTTTCCCTGCCCCCACCAGGGGCCCACTTTGTGAAGATGCTGGTGAGACTAATGAGCATAGGTTCTGCTCACCCAAAGTGACCTGCTGACAAGTCCCATCACTTCACTATTCTTTGCCTTGGTGTTGGGAAGTTATTTAGGATTGGGAACATACCATATCCTTACAGAGGCCAGGTTTAGTGTGGGGACCGCCATTGCGAACCCCCAACTGGACATACTGGCCTGCAACTTGGCAGTATAAAATTAAACATTGCCAAGTTGATGAATTGAGTATTATTAGTGGGAAAATCCTGTTTTCTCCCTACTTAATGTTCCAGTTCCCTCCCTTCCCATGCTGCTTACCTCTCTCTGCCCACTTTGGCTACCCTCCCTTCTCCTGTCCACTTGCTTGCTCCTTCCCTGCTTTCGGGGGGGGGGCAGGGAACAGTATGTAGGATGAGGCAAGCTGGGACCTCCTGCTGCTTCACCTTTTTGTCTGCTTCTGGTATCAAGGTAACTAAAAATGCTGCCCAAATGCAGGAGGTTGTACATGAGTATTCACTGGGGGGGGGGGGGGGTTGCTTCCAAGAAAATTAGATTTTTTAAAACTTTTTTTTTTCTGTAGGTTTATGGAATGCACTGCTGTAGCTGATTTACCTGTCTGGCCAGGGGCTATCCCTTGGCTATTAGATAAAGAGATATGGCACGGAAGCTTGGATCCTATACCTTCATTCTGCTTGTGCAGGGGTTGATTCTCTATTGCAAAGACGTCTCTCTGGTACTAGGCAGCTTCTGCTCTTACATGACACTGCATTTCTGTAAGTGGAAAGCACAAGGTGGAATATCAGACTTCAAAACAGGAGCAACACATGCAGAAGCGAAGTATAAAATCCAAGCCAAGGAGTGTTGGGTTGTGTGTTTTTTTAAAAAAATAAATAAACAAGATGTTGCTGTTCTCACAGTTCAATATTGAGCAAGGTGATTTTAGTTACACCTTTTCCCTGCTTTCAGGTGTGTTACGCTCGGGTCCTTGACTACAGAAGGAAGTTCATTGAAGCTGCCCAGAGATACAACGAACTCTCTTACAAGAGTATAGTCCACGAAAGTGAGCGACTGGAGGCTCTGAAACATGCCTTGCATTGCACCATCTTAGCATCGGCAGGTAAAACCCAGGCTAAAGGCATTATTTATGAATTGTAATCTTTGGAGTTACACATGTAACAGCTGTGGTTTTGGTCAGGCCTATACATGGGAGCTGTTTACCCAAACACCAGAGGGAAATTAGTTTGGCTCTACATACTTCAGTTCTCCTCTGCCTTTCTCTCTGAGACTCCACGTGGATTACAGAATTATAAAAATAATAACAGTAAAGACCAGTGTGATACAAATAATTCCATAAAACTGGATTACACTGTTGGAGAACAATTAAATAAAAAACAATGTAATGCATCCAAAGAACAGCTTGGCAAGTGGAGTGATGAAACGACAGAGCTGTCTGAAATTTCCACCGGGAAGATTAAAACTGCACCCTTGTTCTCTATATGAAAAGCGCCCTGCTTCACAATTTTATTTTACCACATCCCTATGCCTGTGATTTAAAAAAGCTTGCTTGACCAATTCTATTTTATACATTCTGCAAAAGGATAGACGTGTGGAGCCTATCGGACCTTGTCAGGCAGGTCATTCCATCAGGTGCAGGTTACAACAGCAAATACTCAGGTTCGGGCAGTTGTTCTTCTCAGCCCTTTGCACAGTGGAGCCTTCAGAAGACTTTGCTCGAAGGAGCGAAGTGGTCTCCCCAGAGCATAATGAGGGAGGTGATCCTGTAGATCTGTTGGTCCAGGCCACAGGGGGCTTAGTAGGTGATAGCCACGCATTATAAATTGTCCATAAGCTTAAGAAGACTCTCCTTCTTTGGAGGTTTTCAAACAGAGGCCAGGTGGCCATCTGACAGCAGTGCTGGTTCTGTGAACTGAGGAAGATCAGGAGAGGGAGGGCAGGAAGGGTTGCCTCAGTGCTTAGTTCTTGTGGCCCTTTCTTACACGCCCTGGGAAATGCTGGTCGCCACTTTGGGGTCAGGGCGCAGCTTTTCTCCAGGCCAGTTTCTCCGGGGGACATGTGGAGAGAACAGAAGCCCAGGAAGACATTGCAAAAGTGGGAAGAGAGCAAGGCCTTCGCAACTTGTCAGAATGATAGGTTGTAGAAAAAGCCCAGCAGGAACTCATTAGCATAATAGGTCACACCCAACAGCAGGAACTCATTAGCATATTAGGCCACACCCCTGACGGCACAGCTCATTAGCGTATTAAGCCACAACCCCATGTTACCAGAAGTGTGGTCATCCAGCCGCACCCACCTTTTGCTCCTTATTCTGTTGACCTTGTTTGTTGTCAAAACCCAGGGCCTTTTTTTGTAGCAGGAACTCCTTTGCATGTTAGGCCACAGACCTCTAATGTAGCCAATCCGAATGAGTTTCTGCTGTTGGGTGTGGCCTATTATGCTAATGAGTTCCTGCTGGGTGTGGCCAACTCAGGAGCCAGCCGGAACTCCGTTCCTGTGCGTTCCCGCCCAAATATAGCCCTGGGCTTTGATAGTATTTGTCTGATTTCCTGTGTCTGAATTCCTCCATTGTCGGTGGAAGAATCATGGTTATTAGTGAGTCCAGAGGAGACCATAGTGGTTTCTCCCTATCAGTAACTCAGAAAAATGTGAGTGCAGGCCACATGCATCTGAACAGTACTGAATTGAGATGGGTCAGTTCATAGTCTTCTTCTGTTCTCCAGGGCAGCAACGCTCCCGAATGCTGGCCACTCTGTTTAAGGATGAGCGGTGCCAGCAGCTTGCAGCCTATGGGATTCTGGAGAAAATGTATCTGGACAGGATTATCCGAGGGAATCAGTTACAAGAATTTGCTGCAATGCTCATGCCACATCAGAAAGCAACAACAGCTGATGGTACGTGTGTCTCTTAAACTGTGGGTGTACACTGTTCTGAATTTCTGGAGCACTCATCCTTATGTCATTTGGCACCACTTTCCTTGCGAACTAAGCAATCCTGTACTTTGAACCTTCTGTACAGCAATGTTGGGCAATAGCTAGTCTTCTTCTGTTCTCCAGGGCAGCAACGCTCCCGAATGCTGGCCACTCTGTTTAAGGATGAGCGGTGCCAGCAGCTTGCAGCCTATGGGATTCTGGAGAAAATGTATCTGGACAGGATTATCCGAGGGAATCAGTTACAAGAATTTGCTGCAATGCTCATGCCACATCAGAAAGCAACAACAGCTGATGGTACGTGTGTCTCTTAAACTGTGGGTGTACACTATTCTGAATTTCTTATGTCATTTGGCACCGCTTTCCTTGCAAACTAAGCAATCCTGGACTTTGAGCCTTCTGTACAGCAATGTTGGGCAATAGCCTGTAGAAAGATCTCATGGCCATTTTGCACATTATGCAGAGTCAGACCCCTATTTGCCATTGAGCACCCACTCGACAGGAGCTACTGCAATACAGAGTGCATTTTATATTGTTAAAGTGTAAATCTAAAAAGGACTTTAAAGAGGCTCCTACGCTCCTTGGATGAAGAAATCCGATTTTGTAATGGAAGACCAGGGGGCAGAATGCATTAACGTTCAGTGGGAAGCCAAGATTAGGCAGTTTTCGTTTACTGAAGGCCAGTATTAAAGAGAATGAGGGTTCATCTTGTCCAGCATCCTGTCTCACAAGGTGGCCAACCAGTTCCTCTGGAGGTCCAATAACGGCACAAAGGCCAAAGCCTTCCCCCGATTTTGCCTCCTGGCACTGATCTTCAGGGGTTAAACCGCCTCTGAATGTGGAGGTTCCTTTTAGTCATTATTGCTAGTAACTGCTGGCAGATCTATCCTCAGTGGGTTTATCTAATCCCCTTTTAAAGCCATGTATGCTTATGGCCATAGCTACATCCTCTGGCAGCGAATTCCACATTTTGACCACTCTTGACTTTTGTCCATCTAGAATCTTTTACCTGCCAACTTCACTGGGTGTCTTGAACAACACCTGGCCAGGGCTGATCATCCTATCACATTTTATCCCCCACCCCCTTTCAGGGTAGCACCTATAGAGCTTCCCTCTCCATTTTATTATAGGAGCATAAGAGAAGCCGTGTTGGATCAGGCCAATGGCCCGTCCAGTCCAACACTCTGTGTCACACAGTGGCCAAAACCCAGGTGCCATCAGGAGGTCCACCAGTGGGGCCAGAACTCCAGAAGCCCTCCCACTGTTGCCCCTCAAGCACCGAGAATACAAAGCATCACTGCCCCAAACAGAGTGTTTCAGCTACGCTTTGTGGCTAATAGCCACTGATGGACCTCTGCTCTGTATGTTTATCCAATCCACTGTTGAAGCTACAAGCCATACCAACCCTGAGAGAGGGTGACAGCAGCAAGACTGGGGCTTGGGTGGTTGGGCAGTGGACACCAGCTCCTCCCATTGGTTCCTGCACAGTTGTCAGCCAGGAGTGAGCTGGGTTTGTCAAGGAGGGACAATGAGCATAACTACCACCATGGGTGCTTGTCACATGACCAGGACTTGACCTGATTAGGGGACACTTATCTTACGTTTGGCAGCTGTGAGGGTATGAGTGGGCACAGGGTCAAGGACGGCGCCCATCAGCTCCTTCCTCTCTTCGCCTTCTCCCATGGCTGAGAGGAGTCAGGCCCAAATCCTTCTCTACTAAGTCCTGTCACCCACGTACAGGAGAGTCATGAGTCCCCATTCACAGTTTGAAAACTTCTGTGCTCGGCCATCCGTTACTCTTACGCCTTCCTGCTTATCTGTTCCTGTTCCACTTTGGGGTATGATATGACTAAATATTTGTCTTACTGCTCTCTGAAGCCAATATAGCGTACAATTGTTGGCGTTGCTGTGCTGACATCAACAGTGCTAGTGTTCTGTTACCATTTTATTTAGAAAGATGGAGTTAATGTAGTTGGGTTTCATGTAAAAAATGAGTTGGACCAAGGTATAGGAGTAACGTTTTTTCCAAAACACAGCGGTAATTATGTTTTTCTCTGATGTGTAAAGTGTTTGACTTACAACCAGGCATACATTGCATGTCAAACTTGATTTTCCTCCTCAGGTTCTAGTATCTTGGACAGAGCTGTCATTGAACATAATTTATTATCTGCAAGCAAACTATATAACAATATTACCTTTGAAGAACTTGGAGCATTATTAGAAATCCCAGCAGCCAAGGTACATTGACTTTATTGTTCTTTTCTGCAATTAAGTTGTCCATGACTCTTACTAGTGTTCAGTATTCTAGGGTGGCATTATGATTCAGGTAACTAGAGCAATACACTGTGTTCATGTGTGTGTGTTTATGAAGTACTGTAATAGACAACCAATTCAATTCTAACTGTTGTAAAATCAACATTATGTTCAAATTAAGCAGGCTATAGTAAGTGGTTTGAGAAGGAGCCAATCTTACGCTAGAAAAACGCACTCAGACAGATCAAGATGGGAAGCCATGTTAGACTGTCTGTAGCAGTAGAAAAGAGCAAAAGTCCCATAGTACCTTAAAGTCTAAGCAAATTTGTGGCAGGGTATGAGCCTTCGTGAGTCACTGCTCACTTGCTTCCTCACTTCAGTTAGACAGTAAGGCCAGACAGGACCGTAGAAAATGTTTACTGGGATTAAAATGAAACACAAGTCAAGTCACTGTATCTGCACTCTGAAGAAGTAAGGCTTGTACTTGTGTACAGTTTTGGGGGGAGATGCTTTCCAACTGACTCTTATTTTCTGGGAGCCCGCAAAAGAGCAGTAATCTGTTCTTTAGGCAGCCATGCAGTTAACATAGCACTTAAATCATGTATGGACCTGTGGTTATTAGGTTCCAAATCCCAGTGCTGGCGTTAGTAAAGGAAATAACAGGATCTCTCTGACCCAGTCCAGAAGCCACGCACAGGGAAATGTTAAAATAAAGCAGTGGCTGTCACGGAGCAACTTTGTTCTCAATTCACATTGGAACAATGGGTCACTCAGCAGAAAGTCAGCCGTACTAATCCAGTGTAGATCAATGAGGGTACTCTGTTTGATGGCATTTAATCCCCTTGATCGTATGTGGTAGGAGTGAAAGTTTCCATGTGCCTCCGGATCTTGAGCCTCCCCGGAAGTTTGGACATTCCCCCTCCAGGTGCCCCAGGCAGGGCTTGCCCTGCAGTTGGAGTACAAGTGTTTTGGATTGTTTGATAGCATTTAATCACCTTGATCGTATGTGGTAGGGGTGAAAGTTTCCATGTGCCTCCGGACCTTGTGCCTCCCCGGAAGTTTGGACATCCCCCCTCCAGGTGCCCCAGGCAGGGCTTGCCCTGCAGTTGGAGTACAAGTGTGTTGGATTGGGCTGTGGGAAGGTGTGACAACCCTATGCTAGCCACCTCTGATCTCTGTACAGGAATGGCAGGATATGTGATGTGTGGTCAGTAGTACTGATAGTTTTGAGACCAAGAATCTTACTTCCTTTTAAGAGTCACATTTGTTGGCCTATGAAATAGTTCATGTGAGAAATGGGCTTGCACACTACATGTCGTTCTCCTCCTCTGAGACTATATTGCGCCTGTCTCCAGTCCTCCTTATTTTTTTAAGATTGTGATAATCCTGCCCACCCAATTACATCCGGAATTGCATCAAAAAGTCCTAGGCTGTGCTGGTCTGCAGTAGAAGACCTGGATTAGAGCCCAATAGCACCTTTAGAGACCAACCAGATTTTCCGACATGACGTTCTCCTCTGAGAATAAATTGCTCCTGTCTCCAGTCCTCCTTATTCTTTTAAGATCGTGATAATCCTGCCCACCCAATTACATTCGGAATTGCATCAAAAAGTCCTAGGCTTGCTGGTCTGCAGTAGAAGAGCTGGATTAGAACCCAGTAGCACCTTTAGAGACCAACCAGATTTTCAGGGCAAAAGTGTTTGAGCATCAAAGGTCCCTTTGTCAGATACCAGATGGTCTCTTGTTGGTCTCTTAAGGTCCTACTGGACTCCAATCTAGTTCATCAGAAACTTCAGGCACCTGTTTTGAATCCAGTAGGGTTCTGCTGATCACAAAATGTTGCTAGCAGTCACCCATAGTGTTGAGATCAGACAAGCACACTCCTAAATTTATCTGATACTTGCATGCAGAGATCTGTAGATACACAAGTTGCTTTTAATTTATCTCTACTGCTGGCATTTACATGTATATGTTTAAAAGCCCCATCAGAAAAGTGGTTGTGACGCTTTTGGAATCCCATTTGTTTTTTCAGGCAGAAAAGATAGCCTCCCAGATGATAACAGAAGGCCGCATGAATGGATTTATTGATCAGATAGATGGAATAGTTCACTTTGAAAGTAAGTTTGACTAGAGCACTCGTTCCCAAAGTGGGCAGTGCCACCCCCTGGGGCGTGCTGGAATGATCCAGGTGCAGATCCACAAACTACATCTTTTTGTCCACTTCTTGAAGGTAGATTTCGTGGGGGGGGGGGGGGGGGACTTTTTTTCCCCCTGAAAAGGGGGTGGTAGGCTAAATAAGTTTGGGAACTTTTGGGCTAGAGATTTTCTTTCCTCTGGGTGTGAAAGAGCATGAAAAAAACATGCAAAAAATCAACACCAGTCATTCTTGATATAGCCAGCAGATGGCAGTGATATCCAAGGAAACGCTTGTTCTGTACCATTCCCCTGTGTGAATTTTTAATATTCTGGAATACCTTTTATGAGTAGTCTTGATAACAGAGGAGACTTGTTTTTTGCTTTGCGTCTATGACAAAAAAATCAACGCCAGTTCAGTCATTCTTGATATAGCCAGCAGATGGCAGTGATGTCAAAGGAAACGCTTATTCTGTACCATTCCCCTGTGCGAATTTTTTATATTCTGGAATACCTTTTATGCGTAGTCTTGATAACAGAGGAAACTTGTTTTTTGCTTTGCGTCTATGACAACATGCAAACTTAGCAGAAATACAATAGTATGAGGATGAGTTCTGCCATCATCCATTGTTGATTGTGTCTCATAGCTCGTGAAGCCTTGCCAACGTGGGACAAGCAGATTCAGTCTCTCTGCTTCCAAGTTAACAATCTGTTGGAGAAGATTAGCCAGACGGCCCCCGAATGGACAGCCCAGGCCATGGAAGCTCAGATGGCTCAGTAGACTCTCCAGGCTCTGGAGAAGAAACTTTTCTTCTACTAAAAATGCGAAACAGGCATATGAAATTGAACTAATAGCTTTGACTCGACTTCCAGTAGACAAAGCATAGAGAGTGTATATGATGTATGATTCCTTAACTTCTTGTTGCTCAAAGGAACATTAGTCCAGCATAAGAAATCCTTTTTAAAAGCTGTTTAAAACAACCAGTAGAGTACAAAAGAGTGTGTTAAGTTTCGTATCAGTTTCGGTTGCTTAGTGGCCTTGTGAATATTTTTCTGTTGTGAAAACTGAAGTGCCATATTCCGTTCAGTTGTAGCTGTTCCAATAAAGACTTAGTTGGGTGTTAATGAAATGTACAGTGTATGAATTTGCCAGCATTCGTTTGCTGCATCTTGTCTTCGCATATGCAGGATCCCTTACGTAAAACCACAGTGACTTTAATAGGGCATCTCATGATGAACTCCTTGAAACCATTCATCATTAAATGAAATTTACTTGATTAATCAATTTTTTAATGTTTTTTAAATGGGTGTCAGTTTACATTTTTAATATGTCAAAATGGGCAATATTTGTATGCAGGAAGAAAATATATAAAAGGACATCCTCTAGCCAGGATTTTCTGAAGCAAAATAGGGGAAAAAATGTATTGAGCAGGCAGAAAATCTTAAGTATTCTTTTTAAAAAATAAGTTGCCAGACCTGAAGGCTGCAAAACAGGTATAAAATCGTATGGACAATGTGTGGTAAAATCCCAGAGGTACGAGAGAAAGGGAAAGTGTCATAATGGAAGTGAGAGTTTCGTGTCATACATAGCTCTTTGCCTTTCTCCTAGACTTGCAGAAGCAGAATAAATTATGCGGAATATTATGCAGCAACCTTTTTAAGATGAGCTGTAAAATGGAGCCTGTTAGCTTTTCGTCAGTGAAAAGGGGTACTTAGCAGACATAAAACAAGATGGAACTTGGATATTTACCATGTGGCTCTTGCTTACCTGTATTCCATAATCCTTGACATAGCCTTTTTGATAAGTAGGGGGGCCCCCTTTCCATCTCTACCAAGCCACATAATTGTGACCACACACAGATACCTGGTGGTGTAGGTACCACATGACATGAGGAAGAAACTCCATTCCCTTCCCCTCCCCTCAACAGACACCCTGTGAGGTAGGTGGGGCTGAGAGAGCGCTTTTGAGGACTGCTCTTTCAAGAACAGCTCTGACAGAACTATGGCTTGCCGAAGGTCATCCAGCAGCTGCAAGTGGAGGAGTAGGGAATCAAAACCGGTTCTCCCAGGTTAGAGTCCACGCACTTAACCACTACACCAAACTGGTTCCAAACTAGAAGTTCATGACATGGAAGTACTAGTGTTAATATAACTATTCAGTGTGACATCACTGGGCCCCAACCTTTGACATCATGCCCTGTCCAATGACTCTCTTGGTTTAGAAAGATGAAGATCTGGCAACCCTAGCCCCTCCCCTCGGCATACTCACTCTCTGTCAGCATAAAATTGCGGAGTATGGTGCCTGTGCTGACCCTGTCAGTGTTTTCTGTAGTCTAGCAAAAACTGTGCTGCATCTTTAAGACTAGTTGCTCCTGGGAAATGTAGTCTGTGGTCAGGTCTCCGAGGAGCTTCTCTCTGACTGGCTTCTTAAGAGCAATTTCCTGAAGTCAGGGGCGTACAGATAGGAATTTTATGGACCTTTTCCTTTCTTTGTTTTCAACCCTTACCGCAAGGAGAGGGGAGCCCATCTCTTTCTCACCGCGGCTATTGAACTAACCTAGATCACAAGATGTAACTTCCCGCCCAGCTATTGTGAGTAAAATGATCTTCTAATGCGTGAGAAGTTGAATAGTCGTGCCGTTGACTCACCCCTAAAAGGTGCTGGCTAGCACAGCTTGCACCGGACAGGACAGTGCCTGTTACGTAGTAAGAAGTCAAACCATGCAATATGGTTACGTGTGTAACATGGAAAACCTTCAAAATCCACTGGTCTAGCAGCATAGCAGTACAAATACATGTCCCATAGTAACCATGTGGGGGGAAATTACAAATTGCAACAGAACCCAGTCAACAAAAGGCCTAGGAAAGCTAGAATGCTTTGACATTGTGCCAGAAGCATAAGAAATGGGGCCAAGCCGATGGATGACGCAGGGCATTCCACAGTCATGGTGCTGCCACCCAAAAGGCCCTGGGTATTACTTGCCTTGCTACTGGGTGGAGGGGGAGAGAGGAAATGGAGCCTTCAGATATGACTGGCTAACAGGCAGGCTCGGATGGGAGCAGGTAGTTCTTGAAGCATCTTGGTCCCAAGGTGTTTTAAGGCTCTAGAAACAATAGCCAGCACCTTGACCTGGGTCTGGAAGATGCAAATAGGCAGTCAGTGCCATTACAGGATATGGTTATTATTATCGTATGGCAGTGTCTGTTTCATAGCCAGGAGATTGGAGGATTGTCTGGCAGCCAAAGTTCTAAGTCTTCCAGGCAAGCTAGATTTGTCAGTGGCCTGAGAGAGCTCTGAGAGCTGTGACTGACCCAAAGTCACCCAGCTGGCTTCATGTGGAGGAGTGTGGAATCGAACCCGGTTCTCCAGATCAGAGGCCTACGGCTCAAGATACGGTGTCTGGAACGACTTTCTATCAGCAATGTGGCTGGTGAATTTTCCACAAATCAAAGGCTTTCCTTTGCAAACTGTAGGTTTCCTTGAATGTTATGCAAACACAGTGGTGTGCAAACATTGAATTGTAGCTTGCAAAAGTGGGGAAAGCTTCTGGAAGTGGGTCTTTGCCCACCTGCCTCCTCCTGCACGCCCCAAAGATCCTCTGCTGATATTAGGGGAACAGTCACAAGCTATTGCGCTATTGGGTGGGGGTACAATAGACAGTGGATCAGATGAAGAAGAGATTGGATTTATACCCCGCCCTTCACTCGGAGTCTCAGAGCGGTTTACAAACTCCTTTCCCTCCCCCTCCCCACAACAGACACCCTGGGAGGTGGGTGGGGCTGAGAGCTCTTTCCAGAACTGTCCTTGAGAGAACAGCTCTGAGAGAACTATGGCTTGCCCAAAGTCATCCAGCAACTGCAAGTGGAGGAGTGGGGAATCAAACCCGGTTTTCCCAGGTTAGAGATTGCGCACTTAACCACACCAAATTGAAATCATGGTCTGAAAGATTCTGCTGGCAGAAAAAGAATGAAGAAGGTGGTTTTGCCCAGTTTCCTCCTCCTCACTGAGCAACCCGTGCCACAGTGCATTGAGTTTATCAGGATCTTCATGACTCATGGAGGCATCTGGCAAAGAGCAGGGAAGATTTGTCTCTGCAAACTTCCCACTTATGCTACTGCAGGATCCAAAGGAATTTCCTCGCATTTGGCATTATACAGCCGGGCTGCCACATGCCATAAAATCCCTTAGCTGCTTAACTACACAGCAATATCTGTACCTCATTTGTGTTAGGTCTTGTTTTCCATAGCCATTATTGTCCCTACAAGCCTAATTCAGTATTCGCAAAAACAGCCAGTTCCAGGTGGGAGGATATATGGAGACTTCAGATCTGCTGTCATGGCTGAGCACGGCTCAGGTGGGCAAGGAACACCCATCAAAGTGCTACAAGTGAGACGTGCACAATAATCTAAAAGATACAAGGATGAGCATCCTATTTGGAAGGGTTCCAGCAGGCTCACTGAGGTTAGGGGTGGCGTGCACTCCAAGATCTGGAAATTGTTCATTAAGGTCTACAGCAGAAGCACCTAATCTACTGGGCAATATCAACACACACGCTAGGGTTGCCAACTCCGGTTTGGGAAATTCCTGGAGATTCTGGGAGCTTGGAGAGGGCAGCCTTTGGGGAACAGGAGGACCTTAAGTTTGGGTATAATGCAATAAAATCCACTCCAAAGCAGCCATTTTCTCCAACGAAACCGACCTCTGTCATCTGGAGATCAGTTGTAATTCCAAGAGATCTCCAGGCCCCACTCAGAAGGTGGTGAACCTCTTCACCGCATTTCCCATTGCTAGGTCATTAATATGCACAGAGTTCCTAAACCCCATTACCTTGGGAGAGAGATGCCAAGTATGTGTGTGTTTGTGTGTGTGTGTCTTTGACTTGCCACTACATTGTGGGTGTAAATCTGCACAGAATTAACAGCTCACTTATTCTGATCTAATGTACAGTTCAAAAGTGTCAATTCTAGGCATTAAAGCAGTATTAGAATTAGACATACATAGGAAGAAATCTCTCTCCTATAGTTCTCTCTGGGCTATCCTTTCCTCTCCCTGTTGCTTTTGTAACAGGTTGTAAGCTGTTGGGGGGGCAAGCACTTTCTCTCCTGCTTACAGTACCTAGTAAAATATGCTCCTGATAGTACCATATTTTATCCTCTATTTTTTTTGTATTTTTTAATATGTGCATGTGTGTGTGCATGTGCGCGTGCACCTGGAAGTCATGGTGACCTCTGGTGAATGACCCCTACTGGGCTCCTAGAAGGTATCCAGAGAGGTGGCTGAATAAAGCCTGCCCCTGCCTCCCGACTGCTGGTATTTTCAAGGAGGTCTCCCGTCCAAGTACTTGCCAGAGTCAACCCTGCTTAGCTTCCAAGATCAGATGAGACAGGGCTTGCCTGGGCTATCCATGTCCGGGCAGTACCATCTATTATCCTTGAGCTGAGAAGCAGAGCAAAAATAGGAAACTGAACATGCAAGAAATGCTGCTCTTGGGTTAGAGCGGAATAAAAAAATCTGAAGCATGCTGCATCTTCATTCCAAGAAGTGTTTTGGGTAAGGTAAGACATTTTCTTTTTATTTATTTTTTTAAAGCTTCTAGCAAGTCACATTCAAAAAAAGAAGTTGTGTTGAGTGGAATGTTTCATTTTCAACCCGAAAGGCCCAGTGGCATTTGCAATCTGCTTCTGCAATGTTGATCAAAGCAGATGTTGACTTTCTAATTATGAAGGCTGTTGAAGCTTGTCCTGAAGACACCCATCTGAAAGAGAGTGGGGAAACCACAAACTATACGCCGTAGGCCAAGGGTCCCCAACGTTTATGAGCCTGTGGGCACATTTGGAATTCTGACACATCATGGTAGGCGCAGCAACCAAATGGCTGCCAAAAAATGGCTGCCACAGGAGGCAGAGCCTAGAGTTGCCAGGTCTCTCCTGGCAACTGGCAGGGGATAGGGGGCATTTGCCGGGAGCAGGAGGGAGGCCCAGCCAATGTGCAGTGACGTGCCTACGTCACTGCCCACATGACTGGGAAGTGACATCATCATGTTGGGGCGACGCTCTAGTATTTGGGCAAAAAATCAATGGTAAATTTAGCTCCTACCATAGAGTTTTTGCCCAAATACCAGTGTTGCCCTGACATCTCCGACGTGATAAGATCACTTCCAGGTCACATGGGCAGTGATGTAGGCACCTGCTGCACATCGACT